GAATTACGTACGCACAAATACTCCGAGCATAGAAAAACCTATTTTCCGTGTCACGTAAGTGATGAATACGCATTTATTATAAAATAACCATTATTACATGTTAGCAAGAAACTTTTTCCGTTACGATGTTATTTTTGTCTAGAAATGTACCGAAGAATTTACAGCATTTTTCATACTACAAGATCATTTACTTTTCTCTCATTCATTGCACTTGTGTAATCAATGTCCCTTAATATACGAGACGGAACAAGAATTACGTAGGCACAAATACTCCGAGCATAGCAAACCCTATTTTTCGTGTACCGTAAGTAATGAATATACACATTTATTATAAGAAAACCAACTATTTAGCATTAAAGCATTAAAGCATTTTGATTTAAAATATATCGGTCTCCACTAGTAGAACATGTTAACACACAGTAGTAATAAAATATACTGTCAGATTAAAATATTATTGTTACGTGAGATGACATTTGTTATTAGACATGTGACCAAAGCTTTGCAACATCATATGCACTATTCATTCATGAACAAACTCATTCAGCCTACATATATTGTTACATATGTCACTCAACGTTTACACGCAGTGAAGATTTAGATAATCATAGTGCAACAAATCATTCAGGATACCGTTATAAATGTGGAGTAAGTGATGAAAATTACTTCTATCGTAGGAACACTCTGTCCAAAATAGTAAACACTATACTAATTTAAATGTACATTAAAGAACATATTATAATTAAAACATGTTACTGATAAATTTATCGTTACACTATTATTTTTTGTTAAGTATTGCAACGACATCTTTGCAACACAACCTGAATTCCAAACTCATGCAAACATTCATACTGACATTTTTTTCCCGTGTACGTACTGTGGCAAAATGTACAAAGAGAAAGATAGTTTCACTAGGCACATACTTAAGGTGCATAAACAAGACCTTAAACTGGTTACATGTACGGTACGTGATGAACACGCTTTTATCATTACAAAAACATTTGGTCAGCACGCTTTAAAATATATCGATCTACATTAGCAGAACATGTTAACAAAAAAATATTTCCGTTACGATGTTCTTTTTGTCTAGATATGTAACGAGAAATTTGTATTCTCAGTTCAACTACGACATCATAAAATTGAAAAACATTTCTTACACTTGTGTAATTTTTGTGACGACACATACTCAACGCTAGAAGATTTATATATTCACGATTTCATGATGCATGGAGGTACCCAGTTTCCTACCACAGTAAGTGATGAGTACGCATTTATTTTAAGAAAACCACTTGTTTGACTTGTGTTGCAATTAACGATATATATCAGCAATGATACCAGATCATGGTAAGGGTAAAATATTTCTATAACAATATTATGTGTTTTTAAGGTATCCTCTGCGACCTTACCATTACAATTGGAGCTAGAACGTAATCTAGCAGCTTATTCACATCAGAATCCTGTTTCGTATGATGAAAGGACTGATTTACCCGGCACCTCGATTATTAACATATCACAAATGTCTGTTACTGAAGAGGTATTCAGTATAAAAAAAACACTATATGATTGCAATATTTCTATATATACTGTATCGGTCTACAGTGATCGACACATGTCACTAGTGTAAATTTTTACATTATGTTACAATATTAGTGTTTTTCAGATACACCACGTTGCCTACTCTGCACCACTATCTGACCAAAAAACTGGACAAAATGTTGAGAGTCCACCCAGGATTTGTACATGTAACGACATATTCGCGACTGATTGTGTCCTACATTCGCACTCGCCACAGCCTCGAGAAGAGACTGATACCATAAACGACTATCCATTTTATTGTTTTGTAAGTATACTACACACGCATGTTTATTCTATAAATCTACATTTATTATAATAAAAAATACACTTTATCCGTCTATGTCTAGCAATATGAATTATAAACGATTAACACATATAAGCGGTGACATAATAATCTTACGCTATTTTTTTCAAGTACTGTCCTGAAAGCTTTCATACCGAAAATGAAGTTATTTGTCATGAACAAGAGTGTACCAAAACATTATCGTACGAAGACGGGGAACCGTTAACTTTATTTAAATGAATAAAGTATCTACAACTGAAGCTGATTTAAAGATGCACAAACTCAATAGGTATAGAAAGAAACGTTTTATATCGTGAATAAGGGACACGCATGTTTCCAATCATGTACTTAATACTAACACATTCCTATCGGTCTATCGGTCATATTATATGAAATTATAAAGAAAAAACAGGTTTGCTATTATATGGCCAGCGAGAAAAATTTGCTAGGTCCACTGAATTTTTTGTTTATTGAAAAAAATGTTTCGTTATCAAAACAAAAAATTTCATAACTTTAGCTAATTTCTCTTACCTATTTAATAACTAGTTTTCTTGCTTTTCTAGCAATTTTTATGTTCTAGAGCAACATGAAAACGTTAGTACATAAATGCGTGCTACTAATAGTAAAACAATTTTTTCACACTTTGCTCTTATAGCCTCGAAGTCAAAAAATATGAAATTCGGAATGAAAATATATCTCATATCATACTAGATTTTCCATCTGTATACTAAATGTGAACACTGGATTTTTATTAAGTGAAATTTTGATTTTCTATATGAAGATTTTACTTATATCATAATTATGATGAACTTATTCTATGGAAAGCTATTTTCGCACGTCTTCCCCAAACTATGTACTATTTCCATACTCCCTTGAACATAATGTTATCACACATTGTTTTGACAGTTTAGCGAAATATGCACCTTGTACAAAGACTCGTAATAACTATACACTTCACCGTTTACTCGTTTCGCAAATATTACTTAATATCCTACACGACAAAAGTTTTATATATTAGTATACATATAGTTCAACTCTTTTGCAACACGAAGACGTGCGCTCTATAAAAGCTGTTTAATTAATAGTATACGCAATGGTTCCTCAAAAGCATGTACATATGCCAGCGACGCGTTCTGTTTCAAGTGATCACAATGTATCACAAGCGCGCCAAAGTGTGAAAAGAGTTAGTATATTTATGTAATATTGTCGTTTATTATGATTATGCAAGGAAATTCAAATATTTGCAATCGTAAAACAATGTCTTTTTTATAGCAATGTATAATAACATACACAAGTAAAACGTATCACTTGTGCAATATTTCACTAATACCGTAATAAGATTGTTTTGTTTTTTCGATAAGCGTGATCTTAGTATCTTATCAGACAAGAATATACATTTGTTCAGTTTCTAATTGAAGTAGTAATATGTTTGATATCTTATTTAAAAAAAAACAGTTTTGTATGGTTTTTATGATATACTATGTTTTATTATAAAAACTTACGCATTTTATATGTGATGCATTCCTTTTTGTAACAAATATAATCGAAAATAATGCGAATATAAAACGACAAAACTGTACAATTATTTAAATGTATAAATCAATTATTCCGTTTATAAGACTTCTAAATTATAACGTTTAGATGATAAAAATACAAGTGATATCTGCATTTTTTGTATATATTTGACTTAATATGTGTAGATTTGTTTGCTACTAATGAGTGTATAATAAAAAATAAAAATTCGTATTTTTTCACCTTGTATTTCCTGATTTGGTTATGTCACCTTAGTTTTCCTGTATGTTAAGTTACTACATTATCAAAACAATAATTGATATTTTCAAAAAAAAGATGTTTGTATAATGACGTTATACAAGTAATAGTTTTTTTAATACTAAGTATTTTTTATTTAGATTTTACTTCTTTTAGAAAATATTTATTTGTAAGCCGTAAATATATAAAGTGTCCCAAATTAAGTTACATCTTTTGACTATTTCTTTTTTCTTTTTGAGACTGTCAAAGAGAGCGCACGATGTGTGATTAATTGATTTCGACGAATCTTTTTGTATCGATAGGTCACTATGCCAAGTGTTACAAGGTAAACGCATAAGACGCACTACTTAAGCATTCGCGAAAAAATCGCAATTAAAAATTTTTGAGACACTTAAGTAAATATGAAATATATCGTTTTATCTAAGATCGCGTGTGGCGTATCGGTTTCCCGTTAAACTAGTAGCAGCGGCGCTAGAACGCTGCTGGTTCGAGTCTCGGTGAGTAGGTTTTTTTTTAATACGAATTATTTGTATAATATAATGCAATTATTATTCAAAATAAATGTAATTAATAAATTTTTTATTAATTACTTTTATTTGTGTTTATAATTAATAATAACATCAGAAGAATCAATACTATACAAATAAATGTGAAACGAGTTTTATTTAACTGCAAGAAGCCACATTACATTGTTGCTGGATGAAATTTATCATAGAAACAATGAAAACAATAATTTTGTCGACAATGTGCGCATCGTACAAACGCTGCATTTGTACATTCACAAAGTGTTTTTAAACTATCTGGAAAACAAACTTCGCGTCCAAATTGAAAGAGAAGTCTTTATAAATGTAAGTGAAGTTTGTTTCCCATTAGATATTTTAAAAACATCTTGTTAATGTAAAAGTGAGTTCGATTCGTGTAGTTCAGTTTAATAAAACGTGGACATCGCGGCGCTCGTGGACGGGAACGCGTAAAACTCGCTTAAACGGCAGTTCTCTGACTTTTCTCCGATATCATCGTCGCTGCGCGTGCGCAAGGAAGCGAACGAGCCTCTTAACAAACTGTCAGACTGGTTGCCGCCAGTGTGAAGTTTGTCCCGTGTAGAGTGGTGTGTGTAACATTTGTATGAATTCAAGATGGCATCCGCGGAACAGGTTGGCTTGAACAAAACTTGGGAATTGTCGCTTTACGAATTGCATCGCACGCCGCAGGATGCGATCACGGACAACACGGAGATCGCGGTCAGTCCGCGATCTCTGCACAGCGAGCTTATGTGTCCCATTTGCTTAGATATGTTGAAAAAAACTATGACCACCAAGGAGTGCCTGCACCGCTTCTGCTCGGATTGTATTATCACGGCTTTACGAAGTGGCAATAAAGTATGTTGCGTGATAATAATAACGATTTATCTGTAAATGTAATTTATATTCCACACATGAGAGGAAACAATTTTTCCTAGTTTTGGCCTTTTTTGCACTTGTGTTACTGTTTACAGGAGTGTCCTACGTGCAGAAAAAAGTTGGTTTCAAAACGATCTCTCAGACCGGATCCGAACTTTGATTTGCTTATCTCGAAGATCTATCCAAGCAGAGACGAGTACGAGGCGCACCAGGAACGAGTTTTGGCTAAACTGAACAAATCACATTCGCAAGCGGCACTTGTCAACTCTATCACGGAGGGCATTAAGTTACAAAGTCAGAATCGTCCACAACGTTCGAGAAAGAATGCCAATGAATCAGAAAACACAAGCAACTCGTCTTACAACAACACACCAAACGTTAGCACACCCACTACACCAAATCCATCTACAAATGTAGCAAATCAAAGTGATTCTTCGCAAAGCACAACAGGACCTCTAAATAGTGGAGGTAAATAAATTTTGAAAATATGAGTTGTCCAATTTCTAAGTTGAGCAATTTTTTTTTATTAAATTACGAGACCATTAGCTAGTAATACTTAATTTTATTACATTGATATTTCTTTACAAAGGAACGACATCTCGAAATTCAACCACACCATCTCCAAACCCTGCAAATCAAATTCAGAAACCCCCAAAACGACAAAAAAGCCTTCAAAATTCTGAAAACGACTCGTCCAGTGCTGAAGCCGAGACCGGCGGTGGCGATTCAATGGTTGATACAGAGGGCGAAGGACCTAGCGAGCCTCTGATGCTCAATGAAATTGAACTCGTCTTTAAACCACATCCTACAGAAATGGCTGGAGATAATTCTTTGATAAAAGCGTTGAAAGAAAATAGTATTCGTTATATAAAAACAACAGCAAATGCAACAGGTAATGTCGGAAAAATGTAGTTTATATAATTATCCAAGTATTTTTGTGAGATATAAATATTATAAACAGAAAAGGGACAAAGAGTTTCTTTTCAACAAAAAACTTCAACGGGTGCTTTTGTTTTTGCAGTGGACCATTTAAGTAAATATTTGGCAATGCGTTTGACGTTGGATCTGGACACCGAATTATCCGAATCAGACAGGCTATTAAACTTCTGCATTTACATTGCACCCTCGCCCGGACAGCTCGTAGTACTAAGCGGTTCGCAAACACTGCGACAAGTAAATGACAAATTTTGGCGAGTCAATCGACCCTTGGAAATGTATTACTCGTGGAAGAAGACCTAGGGAAGGCCTCGAAAATATCAATCAGATGGGAGCTAGTCGCGCTATACTCTGAAGAAAAGAATACATGCGAAGTACAGTAGAAATGCATGAAGTATGAAAGACACATATCATCGAATGTATTTTCGCGCTGTATTTCCATGTTGATTTTGAATCTGATTCACGTGTATAGGAAACATCTTTCGTACTCATCGACAATGGTACAATTTATGTCTTCACAACGGCAACAGGTTGTCAAGCAGTTTGTTTTTTTGTTAATCAATCTTCATTGAGGCAACTAAAATCATAAAAACTCGGAATTTAAACGACATTTTTAACTTAAGAAAGTTATTTAAAATACGCGTATTGTGCAGAAAAGGATTCATCTGCAAAAAAACAAACTAATCTAAATTGGTAAAAACAAAGAAGTAATTGGCTCGTGACATGTCGCTTAAACTCGAGGCTCGAGACATATTCGACTATCGATTTATTTAAAATCAACAAAAGTATGTATAAAATTCACGTTTATAGTCCAATTACAAGTACGCTATTTCACACCATGACATTAATATCTATAGAAACTGTAATAACCGGTATATGTTTCCTCTTTCCCGCACCTATTTATAGGCGATTTCCATTAAATGGACCGATGGAACAATCGCAACTTGTGTAAATGTTTCTCATAATCGTTAAAACACACTATTCTGTATAGTTTACTTATACATACACACACAAAACAATAAATCTATACATATATATATATATATATATATATANCAATTGGCGCAGACTACTCAACAGCAGTAAAACTTGTAAAATAAAAAAAAAATTAATAATGTAAAATAATATATATATATATATATATAAAAGTATGTATATGTGTATAAACATTGAGGTGTTTTTTTGGTCGTGGGAGCGATATGTGCATTGAATGTTGAAATATAATTTAAATACAAAATTTTAGGGTTTTTTTTAATATACAAATGATGTATATGTGCCCATCCGAGCAAAAACTAAATTTATCTTTTCCAAAATTTCATGCAGAAATACGAAGAAATAAAACAAAATCTATTTGCATATTAATTTACACGTGCTAACGCAAATTACATCGTTCGCGCATTAAAAATCCGAGAAATTGACGGTAACGATGTATAAAATATTTTTTGAAAACGCGTTTTTATTTGAAATAAATTTGTATTCTGATCGCGCGCGATTAGGAGAACGTTTATTGGCTGAACGTATCGAGGTGGCACGCGAGACTCGATTTTAATAAATCAGTTCGCGTCGGGGGGTGTTTCAGCTTTGTGAAATCTCGTTTTCGCTTTCGTTAAAAATACATGGGATTCGTCTTTGCTCTGACGGACGGAATAATCGATAAGAGTGCCACCCTACCACACACGCCCCCTTGAATTTCCACCGAGGCGAAAACAATACAATGTAACCTCGGGTCTTTTGACGACGTTAGGCCTTTATTATTCGTCAACACGCTACATTAGCCAATACGTTTCATCGTATTAATTTTTATTCCCGTTTGATCTTTTCATACTAGAAGTGTTTAAAGCACGGTGTTTTTTTTTTTTCTACGTACTTCTGATTATCGTATCTGCTGCAGTGTTTTTGTGTATTAATGTGCGCTGCGCGGAATTTCCGGTTGCTTGTCGCGCGTGGAACGACTTGAATTAACTATTTTTCGCTAGTACACACCTTTGTGATTTTCTTAATTAATTATTCTAGCAGCCGGTAATAGTCAGTCGGAACTTAATTACGACGTAACACTGTGCGAACTAATGACCGGCCGGCTCCTAATTAGCGCTCACGGGATGAAAATCCGAAATGAATTCTTGTCTCGAGGCCATAACTCGAACAATACTCAATCTCAGCGCGCGCCGCTATAACGTTAATTGCCAGGTTTCTTACGAGAAAAGCGGCGGACCGTCGCGCATTTCTAACGATCGCATCTTTCTCTGTACCGAGCGCGCTGCGAAAAACAAATTATTTAACACTTCAATGACTCGTATTTGGGTTTTGGTTTTTTTTTTTTTTTTTTTATTTTAATCTCATTTAACTCGTTTATTTCGCACGCAGTGAACAAGCGCGAAAAATTGCACGAATACACTGGTAACATTTGCCGATTGTTCCTAAACAATGAGATGTAAGTAGAAACTCTCGTTTCTACTCGTCTCTACTGTGCTTACTTCTTTACTCTATCGACTGAGGATTGTTTTTATCAACGTGATGTGATAATCGGATTTTAACATTTCGTTGTGTTTAATATCTTTAACATCTTTGTAAAATTCTTATTGTTGCTTGAGCATTTTGCAATTTGTCACATTATTCTTCCGTATATTAAATTTCACGCGCGTCAAGTTGCGCGTTAGGATTTGAGAACGCTAATGGCGCTTCATGAGGCTCCTTGTACCAAAGCGGATAATCCGAGCATCTTCTATCGGGAATTGAATTTTCCGATAGGAGCGAATTTAATTTAAAGTTGGGCGGTTCCACCGTCTCCTTCAGAAGAATCGACACCTGTCGCGCGTAATCTTTCGCATCGGTTATTCGCTCCAATCTGACGAAAAAAAAAAAAAAAAAAGACAATTTCTGTTTAAACGACTTACGCGAAAATTTCTTTACTCTTTTTTTGTACGGTAAAAAGTTTTTTTCTTCACTTGTGCACCATCTGTCTGGTGAACTCCGAACGACGTGTTCGGAGCCCGTCAGCGGGATCATTTCGTTGATCGCAATATAATTTTTCCGCGTTGTTACTTTGAACTTCGTAAAACTTCCCGAAATGCACCGCCGCGTCGAGTTGCGCTTCTTCAGACACCACGCGCGGTCGATGACTTTCGGCCGGTAAAATTGTCGAGAACGCGCGCTTCGATTTTCCGGTGGAGCATCTGAAAAAAAAGAAAAAAAACATTAAACGATGTAAGATAGTTTTGCGTCGGTTTGATATCATTTTTTACTTGGTGCTGGTATCGCTCGAGATCGACAACGATAGGTTATCCGATTTAATCGAATTTTTACTACGATTTTTGGACGCTTTGTCGCGAGACTTGATTTTCTTTTGCCTGAACATTACGCAAAACTGCGAACTGTGCAAATAATATTTGTGTTCTATCGTATAAGGGGTGAGAATTACACTTGAAAATTTGAGCGAATTATTGAATATCAAATTGTGTGTTTTCAGTCCGCGAATTATTATTCTCGTTACGTTTTTGTTTCCAATTGTAATCGGCAACCTTTGCCCGGCATAAAATGTACATGTAATTTTGATGTAATTGAAACGAACGAATTCGCACGAATATCCGCGCGCGGATTTGTTTTTCATATTTATTCAACAACTCGAGTGCGCCGCAGACATTTGAACGAAATAACATCGAAGGAAAACGATACCGATTGCACAACATACAATATGTGATACAATACATCACGTTTACGCGTGTAACACGATCGCCGCGAAGCGCAATAATAGCGAAATCGGTCAGAAAAAATTTATATCGAATTCGATCACGATCGGAAATACGAGCGTTAGACGTAAATTAGATTAAAAAGAATTTTACAGTTCTACATATATATATATATATATATAGAAGTTAGAAGTTAAATTAAAAAGTTTTAGGTGGAAAACGAGTCCAAGAATATTTACATACGGCAGGAAAATTTTATATTCGTGAACTCGAATATTTACAGGAATTTTACTCGAATTTTGAGATATAAGAAATTTACATACAGCAAGAAAATGTAAATATGTTTTTCTTGAACATTATTTTATTTTGAAATGAAAACAAACCTGAAATGAGCACAAATTGAATGTTAAATAATTAATCTAGAATATTTCTTTTAATCGAATTAGAATGTCAAGGAACGTTTCTTATTCGCGTCCTCACCAGCTGTAAAATAATAAAAGTCGAGAAAATTACGAATTACGATGAGACAAATTTGTTAAATAAAATTGAGCATTTATGTAAATCTTACAAACAAAAGATTCGCGATATGCCGCGACAAACGGTTTTTCAAATGGGAGTTCGGCTGACTTCGGTGCTCACCGACGCGCTTCGTGCCCAGACGTAACTCGCGCTGGCTCTGCCCTGGAGCCTGGAGCCAGTGCGAGTCCAGTCTACGTCGCGCGTTCCTTTGGTCTACGTCGGGTTTTGCGTCGATTTCGACGTTTCATGACACATCGTGCGAACTTGGAAATTTGAACTGCAATCAAAGTCCACTTGTGTGCGCGTCTGTCTGTCAAGTTCTTGGAAAATCCCGTCGAGAAACATGTGCAGAGAATTTGGGTAAGAACATCTCTTTTTCCAAACTTATTTGCAAAGACTCGAGTTGATTATTTATTAACGTAATTGTTTGTTTTTAATTTTTGTTCGAATTTTTAAAGATCAAATCGATCGATCGATTTAAACAAACGACCGTCCGCGAAGCAAAGCTTGAGAACGTGAGTAAAATTGAAAGGTTTCGTGAGACGTTCGAAGGAAAGAAGTGAAATTTATTTTCAGGTTCTTCTTAAACAACGTTCTCGGAAATTGTTTGAATATCGAGAGTGCGAGTGACGTTTCTCACGTCTCGGTACACCTTTCTGGAACACGTTCGAAGCGAGCGTGTTCGAAGTCAATGCGAACGTCACGTTTCCTGTTGCACCTATTTTCTATGTACTTATCGGATTGCACAAAGGCGCTCGTCTTTCTGATACGTGCGTTTGTTCGTCGCGCCGAGTATTCGCGATTGAAAAAAACAAAAAAAAAACGGCAAAAACTCTTTGATCAAAAATCAAAAGCGCAATTTGATTTGTTCGCGCGTATCGCGACTCGTTTTGTCATAAAGTACGTTCGTTTGACATACGCGGTAAAATGTTCACGTGCGCGTTTGAATTTCGAAGAATGGAGAGAGGAAAAAAAAACACGCGCATTCATTATCACGGCGCTACCCCCTCCCCCGCAGATCTCGCGCTTTTTCGCGATGTGCACGGCATATATTGGAAACCCATAAACGACATGCGCACGATGAAGTAAATTTACCCAGGCGCGCCTCCAATATCCGATAAATTTTAATACAGCAATAATTCCGACGTATCCCATCGTGCGCAATATTGACTTTCCGCCTCTCCTCGGCCGCTCCGCCTGTGTGCGTTTCTCTCCCTTCCTCACCCCGCGCGGTTCCTCGTCTCTCGCTCGCTCTCATTCATACTACTGTTACTTTTCTCTTTCTCTCTCTCTCCGTTCGTTTTTTTTTCTTTAACTTTATTGGTTCCGTTTTAATCGATTCTTCAGACTGTAATATCTGGAAGAAATTTGTGTTGGTGCGTGTGCGTGTTTCAATATCGTTTATCATAAAATTTACGTGCTCTTAAACCGTTTCCTAAGCTGTTCGCATCATTGCGGCTAATGAATTTCGCGGTCGATTAGATTGCGAGATCGATAAGATCTTTATTGCTAAATTCAAACTCAATTTTTTTGAAATTGAAGATAAAACAAGACAAGAAATATTGAGAATAAAAAAAAATCTAATTTCCACAACAAATTGCACAGATAGAAGAAACTAATTTCTATTTTAATTAGTTGTTAGTCATTAAGTGTCGAGATGAATCTGAAACGAGCTTTGAACAGATTAAAATGATTAAAATAACCTTTTGTGTATTTGAATTTTCGCGAAAATTCTATTAAATTTATATGCGGATTACGCGACAACGTAATCCATTGAAACACATTCGATATATTAACATTGGACAGAGCTAGAGACAGAGCTAGAGAGAAAGAGAGAGAGCACAGTGCAAAAGTATCGATCGAGAGACTGCTCTCGCTGCGAGGTTCGTACAACGTATAAATCATCATTAGACGATCCTTTTACTTCTAAAGATACAGGTCGAAGAGATCCATCGATCGGGCATTTGAGATTGCATCACCGATCGCATCATCGATCAGCCCTGTGATGGTCCGACGATGTGCGATCTTCGTTAAGTACAGTTTAATGATCCGGCTGTTAATTATCGATGTGACAGCATTTTAATTACACACTTTGAAACACACACATGCTCAAATGCGATCAATGTCACGTACGTGTCACAAAAAGACGTATAAAGAACGTGGGTAATAATAATAAAATACGCACGAACGAAAGAGAATGAAAAACCGATTAAACGCCCGGGGGCTTTCCCGGGGAAAAAAAGTCTTTCATGCGAGGACAAATTCTACGTATCCAGTTACATGTAAATTATATGTAATGATAATAATTAATAATTACATATACAATAAATAATTAAATATATAATATTTTTATTATTATTTATTATATATTTTTTATGTATTGTTTATAATAATATTAAATATATTTTATATATAACAATATATGTGATCATATAATGAAACGCGATCTTGAAAATATAATTGTATTTAATTAATATAATCACAAATATATAGAATTTGTCTATGTATGGAAAATGATTTTTTTCGGATTTAATAAGAACTCTCGGAAAATCTGATTATTTTCGTGTAAGCGATCAGTACGCGTTGATTGGAGCTTATGACATTGTATCGGCCAGTGGAAAATAAGTGGCTGTACAAAATCTCGGACACGATGGCGTGACATCGTGTCGTTCGAAACTCACAAGTTAATATCCAGCGAAAGAAGAACACGCATTATATCGACGCGACGAATTTCCGAGAGGCCATGTAATTTAGTACATATATATATATATATATATTGATGGAGGGTACAAGTGCATTTTTCTCTTAGGGACCGCCCACGCGCCGTACTCGCGTCATTTTTTCTCCGCGTGGGCAATCGCCGGTAAGGGCACCGTCGTCGTCGTGCGTTAGTCACCAGACTGCAGAGGGTGGAAAAGACCGGCATCGTTACACTAAGGGGAAAAACCGAGAGAGAGAGAGAGAGGGAGAGAAAGGAAAAAAAGAAAGGTGGTACAAAGGCGCGCGAGCACAAAACCCGAATTTCCGAGTGCGCGCGTTTAATACCTTTCTTTTTTTTTATTTTTTTTTCCTCACGCGTGCCGCGTGTCAAGAGTATAATCATCCCCGTCTCGCGGATCATTACATCACGAAACTCGCACCAGGATTTTCTCTGTAATTCGCGCCACACAAGTTCTCTTAATTACCCCTCTCTCACGCTCTTCCTTCGTTAAGGAACGCGTGGCGGGATATAATAGCCATCCAAGTAAAAGCACAATGCTAACGGACACGCGTGTCAATCTGCGATTCTTTCATTTCATCGAGACAAAAGTACGCGTCCGGGAAAAAAAATCTTTCGCGAGATCCTTGAATGACTGGACAAGCCGCACCACTGGCCGCACATTTATTAAAAAGGTAATTACAACAAAGCATTTATATATATATATATATGTAAAGTTAGAAACACTAATAATTAAAAATATATCTCAAAAATTACTTAAAACACGTTGAAAATTGTTGAGATTAATTTGCACAATAATTATATTTCTAAAAATTATTTCTGTGATATTTGAGGATCCAAGAGCTGTTCAATATGTAATACAATAACACTAGTGCAATCATACGCGAACACTATAAGTATTCCGACGAAGAACAGACGTGTAGCGAACTTCGGAGAGAAATATTTGAAATTGTGTGTCGCGCGGGATCTTCCGAGGTTTTTTCTTTTTTTTTTTTTGCTTTCGGAGTAAAAAAGTGAACGCGTCGTCGCAATGTGCATCTTGTCGCGTGAAAATAATGCGGTCTGTGACCTCTGTGACGTGTATAACATATAAATGCACGAAACTCGCATGTGAGAGAAAGAAAGAGAGTACACGCAGACCGGGACCATTTTCCAGGCGGCAGGTCTATTTGTTGGGTTAGGAGACCCTCGAGTAAAAGAGGAGCGAATAGAAACCTGGGGTGGCACTTCGGGATTGGGACACGCGATATATATTACGCGCTCGGCATAACGTATATATACACATACGTCCTGTCGTGTACATAAGTAGATGCATAAACAGGGATCGTAAATGTATGTCTAACAGGCGCGAGCGCCGATCGGCACGTGAGTAATGCGAACATGCGCGTTTTAACGATTTCCGATGTTTTTGCTTGTTCTTACTTCGCGCTTCTTCGTCGATTCTCGCGTCGTCTTCTTCTCGTCGGAAGACACTTCTTTCCGCTGCGCGGAATTCGAGTGGCCGACAATGATATCGGGATGCACACGCACCTGAGATTAATAAGCCACAAAGAAGAACAGAGGGTTTTGTAGAGAAACCTGTGTTGCAATCCTTTACAATTCCACCCGCGTCGTAACTCTTTCCCCCTCACCCCTTTCCCCCCGAACTTGCATTCAATGGTAATTATTGGCAATTAACTGATAATAAAATCAACGGCGGGGGACAGCAAGACGGCGCAAATACAGAAACTCTCTCCGTACGGAACGAATCGCAAATAACACGTCTTGCACTTACGGAATTGCCGTAAGGCTCGAGGATCGGAAAAAAAGTAACACTCCTACGTATTATAGAAATAATTCCGCGAGGACTGAGTATCCCTGACGCGTGTATTTCGTACTTTATCGATGCGCGTGTAAAAATAAACTCCTGTCCGCGCGATCGTCGCGGATCAAAGTCGATCGACACAATAATAAGTCATTGCTGAAACGTACCCGCGGACATGTCCGCGTTGTGGCGATTTTTCAGGAGTATCGCGTACAAAACAATATTCTTTCCTGCGATGTTTCGTGCTGCAGGGGTTGCTCGAGACGTAGACGTGTATCGCAATTTGAAATCTATCAAGCGGAGAACACGGAGTTTTGCGATTTTTTTCTTCGCGCGCGCGCGCGCGCGCTGTACCGCAAGAATTGATCGCGCGTCGGTTCGGAAAATTCAAGAAACTTCTCAGACGAACGACTTACGGTACACCGTAACACAACATCCATATACGCGAATATAGTGACATAATAGGCAAACGTCCAGGCCGATGCACCGTTATGCAGAATGGTGCTGAGGTCAAAGAGCCGATACCGAACACACGGGGGAGGGAGGAAGCGGAGTCTGGGATTCGTTCGAAGAGCGCATCGGATATGCTCGTTCGTACGTTCATGGCACGCTCATGAATATTTCAACGGACAGCAAAGCGAGATGTGGTAAACGACCGAGTAAATTTTCACTCAAAGGTGAGAATTTTTACGGCGCGACTGTGAAATCGCGGTTTTAGATCGCGACATTTCCTGACCTTCATATCATCGCTCGTATCATATTCCGAGACTCGAAGAGAATTCTTCCCCTCTTTTGCGATTTTATTTCTTAAGTCCCGCAATTGCAATACGTGCGTAA